ATACGATATTAGTTTTTGAAATCGCCGTTACTTTTATCATTTTATCGATTTTTTTAGCAAAGTTTGAGCCTACGGGACTGGGAGTTGGCACAGAGGGGTAATCGAGCATGCTGATTACGAATGCAATATTTAGTTCAGCCGGCTATCCGGGCTCCATAGTTTCTTTGTCGTGGAGCTTGCTCAAACTTCGTGTATAAGGGTTATCTTAAGTGCTGAAAACATATATCACACTTTCTCCGCAGAACGTCTCCCCGTGTGGTCACGGTAGGTGTACGGTAGGGGGTCAAAATCATGAATTCGGCTGAAGTTTGGTCCAGAGAACTTATTCGACATGCTGATTACGAATTTCATACTCTCCCTGCATATTGGAACCCTTTCATAGAGTTATTGTGGTTATACGGTATGGGGTCGAAAACATAGATTTGCTTCAAACTTCGTCTAGGGTGGTCATTTAGCGCGCTGAACATGAATATCATGCTGAATTCGCAGGATAGTGCATTTTCTTGGGTTACGGTGGGTGCAGACGGGTCGAAGTTTCAGATTTGCTCAAAACCTTATTTGTAACGGTTTAGAAGTTTACTGCTTTTTAATATGATGCTTGCTTGCTGTCATAACGCATTAGTCAGATTATGGTGAATTGCGGGGTTTTAATGGACATTTTTTCGCTTTCGGGCCAATTTAGATCCCAGATATTCACGAAATGGGGAAACGATTGTTTTGCACGGCGGTCTCCAGCGCCATCCTGATAACCTGTCCCAAAGTGTAACGCACGCGGCAAATCTCCCTCCCCCTGTTTTTGCTTAAAGCCGCCGAAGGGTGTATCGCGCGCTGCAGTGGTCCTATAAGAGAAAGCATTTACGTTCGTGGGACTTTTATACCACACGTGTTGCCATTATCATGGGGATTAAGCACGATATTCTTGAAACAGCATTTTAGGTAATTCCCTGCCAAGGTTCCAGGCAGGTTCGTAATTTTTACCCGCTGCCACGCGAAATGACTACCATATTCGTCATCAGCGGGTTGAATCACCCCCATATATCAAGTTTGAGCAAGACACACCACAAAAACATTTTAGGGCCCGGATAGCCGAATTTTTTAGAATTATCCTTACTTTTATCGATTTTATTGTTTTTTTTTTGCAAAGTATGAGCTACGGGGCTGGGGGTTGGTGAGGAAGGTAGATGAGCATACTGATTACTCACAAGCAGGAATAAGTGCATGTAGAAGTGGGCACAGGTAAAGGTGTACAGGGATAGAAATGGAACCTTTACCGTTTTTGACAGGGCCGAGCGGAGCCGGGTAAGCCAGCTAATCTAGTATATAGAAGTGCCACAATTTACAGGGTTACAATAGGTATACGGTAGACAATAAGTTTTTGCTTATTTTCGCAGATTTTTGTTTGATTGGATTGTTCAGTGTGCTGATAACAACATTGCCATTGATTTCTCGCTGATGACACATAGTAAATATACTGTAGGAGTAGGTAATAAGTCACTCTGATCGAATCTGTTTTAAAACCAGCTCTCAAGGTAAAATACCGCTCGCAGAATGTGCAAATTTTCCGCCTGGCGGAATTTCGGAATTCCGCGAACGCGGAATGACGGGAACACGCAGAATACGCAGCTTCGTAACTCTCTTCGGAATGAATACATTTTGAATCCGAAGAGTATTGTGCCCAGCTCGCCAAGGCAAATCTTCTGATGTACAGCATGCCCACAATATTCCGCTTCCAGTTTTCTCAAATTGTTCTGTGGAGGTCATTTCGCAAGGATGTAACGCAGCATCTGTATAACATAAAAGGTTCCAGTACAAGTACAAGAACAACAACTTACAAGATTATTACTATTCGATGGTACTGTTCTTGTAGGTTGTTGTACGCTAAAAGGTAGACGCAGACTGCCTTCCAAAAGAGAAGCGTTAGTGAATTTTGGAAAAATCACGCATTTTCAAACTGTACTCGTCGTAACTTTCTTCGAAATGAATATATTCTGAATCCGAAAAAAGTATTATGCCCAGCTCATCAAGGCAAATCTTTCGATATACACCGAGTCTTTGATATTCCGACTGCAGCACTCTTGAATCTTTCTGCGGATGTCTTTTCACAAAGGTCTAAGGCAGCGAGCATTGCTCCTAGTAGATTGCAGCAAATTTGATATTACTTCCTCTGTAGATTATGGAGCGCTAAAACGTAGTCACAGGCGTCTTTCCAAAGGAGATAGAAGGGCTAGTAAATTTTGGAAAAATCATGTCGTTTCAAGTTTTACTCACCATAACCCCAAAATATGAAGCTATCTTGCTAAACAGATGTGATTTTCGTAATTAGCATGTCGGATAACCTCTATGAGCAAGTTTTCCGAGATCCTCGGGTTATTCCATCATTTTTCTGTCTTACTACGTTTTAAGCTCGCCCATGGATTTTGGTCAAAATGTTGATGATCTTGGATTGTAAGAAAACTTCGCTTATAGAAATTTTCGGACACGCTGTTTACGAAAATCGTGATCTTTGAGGAATACATGGTCTTTTTGCGGAGATACGGTGAAGTAACTGTAACTGAGTCACAAAAGTCCGTAACTTCGTCTTCACTTCTCGTGTATTTGTCAGTAAGCCTGCCTGCCTGCTTCTATGCATCAAGGTTATCAGAAACTGTGCCATCGAATGATGCATGTCTTAGGCTCCAATCTCTATAAATCGCCGAGGTACGCGATAACGAAAACACGTCCTCATGAATTTTGCCCAAAATGTAAAGATCATATACTTCGTCGAAATCCCACCTTGAGTGGTTGTATGACATTTCGATTGCAATTATCATGTCCACTTCGTCAAGGAATTCATTCAGCTGCTCAGTTTTATATCAGAGTAGTTTCTAAAGCTCAGATCTACCTAACTGTCAAACCCAGCACAGGAAGATCCATTGAGCGACGTGAATAAATTTGATTAGCGTGTTATACAATTACTCAATGTGGGATTTCGCCAAGTATGCGATTCTTACATTTTGGGCAAAATTCATGAGACGTGTTTCCGTAGGCTCGTAACTTGGCAGTTTTCATAGACTGGAGCCTGAGACAATCACCGTTCAATAGCAAGGTTCCTAATGACTTTATCCTATAAAAGCAAGCAGGCAAGTTTTCTGAAAGGTAAGCTAGAAGTGCAGGCAAAGTTACGAACTTTCGTGACTCAGTTACAGTTACCACACCGTATCTCTGAAGACCCTGTATTCCTCAAAGACCACAATTTTCGTAAACAGCGGTCCGAAAACCTGCGAGCTTAGCGTAGTAAGACAGAAAAAGTGAACTAATGCGAAGACCTCTGAAAACTTGCTCATAGAGGTTATCCGACCTGCTGATTAAAAAAATCACATCTGCTTAGTAAGATGGCTTCATATTTTAGGGTTATGGTGAGTAAAATTTGAAACGACATGAGTGTTCCGGAATTCACAAGCCCTTCGATCTCTTTTGGATAGACGCCTGTGACTACTTTTTTTAGCGCTCCATAATCTACAGAGAAAGTACTATCAACTTTGCTGGAATCTACTATGTATGAGCAATGCGTGCTGCCTGACAACTTTGTGAAAAGACGTCCGCAGAAAAATTCAAGAGTGCTGAAATCGGAATATCAAAGACTCGGTGTATATCGAAAGATTTTGCCATGAGCTGGGCACAATACCTTCTTCAGATTCGTAATGTATTCATTCCGAAGGTAGTTACGAAGCTGCGTATTCTGCGTGATTCCCGTGATTTCGCGGATCCTGAAATGTCGCAAAATTCCCGGAATATCGCGGAGTTTTGCGGAATCCCCGAAATTCCGCGAGGCGGAAATTTTGCACATTCTGTGAGCGGTATTGTACCTTGAGGGCTGGTTTTAGAACAAATTCGATCAGAGTGACTCATTACCATGCTCCTACAGTATATCTACTATGTGTCATCAGCGAGAAATCAATGGCAATGTTGTTATCAGCACACTGAACAATCCAACCAAACAAAAATCTGCGAAATTGAGCGAAAACTTATTGTCTACCGTGTACCTCTCGAACCCCTGTAGATTGTGGCACTTCCATATATTAGATGATGCGTCTCGCCGAGCTAAACCGAACGTTGTCCTCGTTCAGAATCCGTCCATTCTGAAGCGAGATATGGCGATACGACGCGGATTCCGACAGATCCTAGTGATGTGCGGCACACTCCGCTGCTTTCCGGCGGACCCTAGTGGAGTGCGGTGCACGCCGCATTGAGGCGACTTTTTTCACGAATTATGAGCGGTATCGTAACTACATATCTTCCCAGGATAGATAATCACCGAGCCAAAAACTCTATCCTTAGGCTAAAGCTGAGAAGCTGATTACAAGTATGAAATTCGACTTTACCGTAAGACTTCTTTTATAAGTTACTAGCCGGCGTCCTCGGTCCAGCCCGGATTGGACAAACTGGTCCGGCGAAGCACAGCAGTTTGTTCCCCGCCTGTCTATAACGTACTTTCTTCTTTGGCAATCACTTCACCCTCGCACTGTTCCTTCCTCTTCCATGTTCTTGCTCTAAATCCTGCAGCAGCGTTCTCGTGATGGATTTCCTTCCTTTCGTGCTTCCTCGCTGCACAACACCGCATCCTCCTCTCTGCGAAATGTAAATGAAACTCACCGCCCTCGTTTATATGATTATAAGAAATGCTTGGTTAAAGCACGAAAAGCTTCCGTTTTCCCATATGTAAGTAAATAAATCAATAAATCGATGTAAGGACCTAGCGAATAGTCGCGAAAAGTAGCACTCATTTATATAACAACAAAGTTCAGCCTCTTCGGTTTACATACAAAGGAATCTATAAGCCACAAACATCCTGACAGACAAAGGTACACTGTTTGAGTTTTAAATATAGATATGGACGTTAAATAAACAGCAACCACGTTTTTTCAGCGTCTTTTCAACAATATGGTCAAACTGTTTCAAACGCTTAAAAACTCGTAAAAAGTAGTCTAATGAAGTCAACATGAAATCAACGATAACTGCAGGTCAATCGCATCGTTTGCTGTATCGAGCCTGAACAAGCTACATCTTATCATCGTTATTTAGAGGATGCAGATCGTCAAGCGACCACAAACGAGGTGGGTTTTTTCTTGAGTTAGAAATCATATGCCAAATACAGTGAAGAAAGGCAGCTATGAAATATGGCTCAAACTGAGATCACGCTAAATTTATGTGGTACACCAGCGAACTGTCTAAGCTGGCTTTAATTCGCAACGTCACTTAAGCGTTATAAATGGCCTCAAACCGGCTTGCCTCTCTTTCGCGCTTAGCCTAATCGGTGCAGCTGATGGCATAGACTGCATATAGGACTACATGTAGCGACGCTAGCCATGAACTGGTTTTTCTCCCGTGTAATATTAGGTCGGTCCGAAAGTCGTTTCATTTTCAAAAGCTTGCAACTTTGCGCTATCTCAGCGAATTTGCTTGCTAGTAGTTTTATTAGAAAGAATTAGTCTTCCGCTTTCAAATACTGTCTTGTGGAGCTCCTGTTTCGCACTAAATGCAGAGATATGAATTGAAAAGTAAGACCATATAAGCTTTGTTCATTTTATCTTAAGTCACCAAATGGGACGCTGCAGAAAATCTGAAATTCTCAATACATGAGTTTTCGGGCCCACTCTTCACAACTGTGAAACGTTTGTGCTATTTGGACGTCTCTGTGAGAAGAAAGTTCCGAGAAAAGTGACAAATCAATTGATTTTGGCTTTTTCTATAGTAAACTCAAAATTCGTAACCCTACCACAGAGACGTCCAAACAACAGAAATTTTTCACAGTTGCAAAGGGTAGGCCAAAATTAAGCCCATGTGTTGACACTTTCAGATTTTTTTGCAGCGATTCAGATTTTGGTGACCTAACTTGAAATGGTCAAAGCTTATATGGTCTTAGTTTTCCATTTTTATCTTTGCAATCCGTGTGAAACAAAAGCTTGACAAGGTATTACTTGAAGAAAGACTTACTCTTTCCTATAAAATTGCTATAAAGTGCGGTTCATAATTATACGAACACCCAAAATTTTGTAAGTTTTCGGACTTTTTGGGAGAAACTCAAAAAGCCGTTGGTACCACGCGAAAGAGCACAACCGAAAACGGTATATGATCCATAAGAATGGAAATTGATGTCAATCTTAGGAGTGTTTTTGCGCCTTATGCGAATTTTTAGCGGTTCATAATTATACGAACACCTCGAACAAAGGTTCATTTTCCATTCAAGATTGCAATCATTTGAGTCCAAATTTTTTGTAGAGTTACAGTAACAAAGTCTGACATATCTGCTACACACTGAACTCAGTGCAGTTAAAAAGAGGACCGTTATTTTTTTCAGAAGGCCCTAAATGCTTTTGAAGTGATTGCGCTCCAAAAACAGCCGTTCTTCTGTGGTTTACGCGCTCTAATTAGCTTCTACCAAAGCTATGCGATAAAATAAGCTTTCTAGATAGGTATTTTGTTTGACGCTTGGAAAATCCTTGTGTTTTCGCGCCGTTTTTCAACCAAGTTCCAACCTTATCACAGAGTTAGCACGATTTGAGCCTCAAAACTCAGCTTCTGAAGCCGTACAATGAAGTAAGCATATAGTATGTAGAAGTTCACAAGACTGTATATTTGGCTAGAAAAAATCAGCAGCGTTGAGCGTTTGTTTTGGCCACGCAGACGTCATTTCACCAAAAACACTGTTTTTACTATTGCAATCACACCTCTATTTGGTTTGTAGCTACGCAGCCTCAAGATCAGTTCTACAAAAAACCCAAAAACTTTGGCACAAAAACATCATCATGCAAGCAATGCAACCGCTTCATATCATATGTTTGCGCAAAACAGAAGCTGAGTTTTAGGCTCGAAATCGCGCTAACCATTAGGGTTGGGATGGAACTTGGTTGAAAAACGGCGCGAAAACGCAAAGATTTTTCAAGCGTCAAACAAAATACCTATCGAAAGAGCTTATTTTATCTCATAGCTTTGGTAGAAGCTAATTAGAGCGCGTAAACCACAGAAGAACGGATGTTTTGGAGCGCAATCACTCCAAAAGCATTTAGAGCCTTCTGAAAAAAGTAACGGTCCTTTTTTTGAACTTCAATGGGTTCAGTGTGTAGCAGGTGTTTCAGACTTTATTACTGTAACTCTACAAAAAATTTGGACTCAAATGATTGCAATCTTGAATGGAAAATGAACCTTTGTTCGAGGTGTTCGTATAATTATGAACCGCTAAAAGTTCGCATTAGGCGCAAAAACACTCCTAAGATTGACATCAATTTCCATTCTTATGGATCACATACCGTTTTCGGTTGTGCTCTTTCGCGTGATACCAACGGCATTTTGAGTTTCTCCCAAAAAGTCCGAATACTTACAAAATTTTGGGTGTTCGTATAATTATGAACCGCACTTTAGTCGTCCTCACCCCAGAGTCGGTCGGTGGACGATTTCAAATTTGAATTGGAGCAGGGTCTGTCGCGGCAGAGCGCGGCATCTGCCCCCCCCCCCCTCCGTATGATTTTGCGTGTTTCTTTATCGTTATTATTGGTCGTTACGCTGGTCGTCTTTGTACTATAAGTATGTCTGTAGAAAGTGAGAATTTTGTTGTTGTCGGAAGTTGTTTCATGTTGTTAAGTTCGTTTCTTCAACTCTAATTACAGGTAAGCGTAGAGAAACGATACAGATGGTGAACATATGCTGTAAACCCTTTCTTAGTAAGTAACATATGCAGGTGTTGCTCCAGTGGATTATATGTCCCAAATTTGCCATCTGCATTGTTTCCAAAAGCTCATTTAAACAAAATGCGAGCATAGCGGCAAGAGACAACGCTCAACAATTACAAAAACTCAAAACAGGTCAAAAACTTTGTAACAATGCAAAAACTTATGAGCAATGGCGAAAAAAAACGCAAAGTGAATGCTTGGATTTGAACAGAGAGCTAAGGTGTCGTGCTCTGCCGCGACCCGCCTGCTCCAGTTCGAATTCGAAATCTTCCACCGACCGACTAGTGGGGTGAGGACGACTATAGCAAGCAAATCCGTTAAAATAGCGCAAAGTTACAAATTCTTGAGAATGAAACGACACGACCCAAGGTTATCAGATTGGGAAGAAAAGAAGTCGCTTTTTATTTCCTCATCATAGTATGGCAATATGGCAACAAGGCAAATCCCAGGTATAGTCGAATCACTTCATATGATCATGTGTGTCACTGCAGACTGTCCTCTGTTGGCGCCCGGCTGCACGTCAGGAGATACGCCGCGCGCGGCGGCCGCTCTTCCGCACACGCCGCGCTCAAATCTTGGGGCCTCCAAGACTCCCCGCCAATAGAGATTCCGGCGGCAAAAACAGGAGGGTGAGGGTGGGGGCAGATACATGACTTCATGCTATAAGTAAGACTGCGCTAGAAATGCTGCTGTTGTAAGGGATGAAGTACGTTGCGGCATCGCTTCGCGAAAAATTCGCGCCGATCGTACCTCCTGACCGTCCCCCTTTGGCGCCCCCATCCTGAAATTGTAATCGCAAAGTCGCAAAACACTGACCGATTGTTATCGCTTACATCACTTTGAGAAGATTGGCACCTTAAAAGGGCATTGGAAACACTTAGCAGAAGGGCTCCTGTTGCTAAAACCCAGGATGAGGACGCCAAAGGTGGACAATATGTGCGGTGGCACACATGATCATATGAAATGATCCGACTGTATGTACGTGTATGGGATACAATTCAATAGAGCAAAGCAAGTTTCAACAAAATTACATTACTGTATTTTCACCAGGTTGTATCCACTTGAAGTTCGAAGGAGATATCTAGAAAGTTTCAAAAGACCGAAGAATCAAAAAAGTATATATATCGAATTTACTTTTTTCTTCTGCTTTTGTGAACGCAATATTTATCGAGTACCAGCCCTTGTAGAAGGCTGAAAATTTACGGTTGTGCTTTCCAAGTTAAGTAGTATGGAAATACTTACGCGAGAACAGCCCAGCATCGCTTGCCAAAAGCATGAAATTCAATTTTTCGATGTCTAACCGAGAAAATACAGCAACTGCGCATATGGATGTTTGATGAGGGATGTGCAGGGTACGCCAAATTACTTGCGCCAACTTTGCAGCATTGCCATAGAAAAACCACTGCGAAATATAGGCTCAAATTTGTGCCATAGAATGTCCCAATCAAACTCTATAAGATGCATTTTACCGAATTCAAAAAGATTTGTTATCAAGAATGCGAGGATTATAAGGATCAGACTAACAGCTTTAAAAAAGCAAAAATGGGATTTCTATAACTTTATGTTTTGGTCTGCCTTTAACCATCTCGAGCTGAGGTTGTAGAGCACGCTTTGCACTGTCACACAGTCTTGATTTTATTTGCTGAGATTTGTCGCAAGATACGAACATGTTTTTGCGAAAAAAAAACCTGCGTACAAATAAAAACCTTATGTTCAGAACCAATTGTAAAACAGACGGCCAGAACTTTCTATGTAAAAACATTTCTTTCTTTATGAGACGTGTAGAAGAACATCTATTATGAGCGATTCGTGAAAATAATTTTGAAACTGAGTTAAAAGACACTTTCTGGTTTTTGGGCGCACACATCAAGGCCAAAACACCACTGATTTCGATATGTTGCCTTCAAGCATGTTCTTGGAAAATCGAATTCATCTTCGAATCAACGTTCAGATTTCCACACCTAACAGTATTTGAGGCAAAGGCTTGCTCTATTTTGATGCCCGATTTCAAAACAAGAGGAAAGGTTTTCGAATGATTATCGTGTAAATTCTCAAAGTTGTACCTGCGCACAGAGCACATTTCGGATGTAGAGAAAATTTGAGATTTTCTTCGCAAAATTGAGGAGCAAATTCTGATTTGACTATAGCATTATGATGCTAATGGTTGATGAAAATAAATGCATCCTTGAACTGTCATCAAGCCCGCCTTGTGTCATTCTGGTACCCGAGCAAATAATTTTGGCCTTGTATATTCGCGCGATTGGGAGTTTGTTAATATCTTGTGGACAATACGAATTTTTTGATTTTTCGACCACTTGAAACTCTTTAGATTCCAACTTCAATTTCGCGTCGTATAAGTGGTGCAAAAGCATAGAGCCGTTTTGTAG